GAAGTGACGCATCGATCAGATTCGAGAGGTGAATTGCAGAGCACAACTACGACTGCCAAATTGGCATTTCATTCTTTGCGATGACTCCTAACGATTCTGCAAGCCGAGGTTTTACTTTTGAAATTCTTCCCGATGAGATTGTGCAACAAATACTCTACTTCAGTTCTCCGCACGATACTCTCACGAATATCCAACTTGTTTCAAAGCGATTCAATCGCCTGGGCAATGAGCCATTACTTTGGCGATATCACTGTCGCGTTCACTTCAAGTACTGGGATGCGAGACATGACGTCTTCCAAAAGTTTGCCGGTATTGTAGGAGATGTGAATTGGAAAGGCTTATATATACATCGGGAAAACGTAGATATAAGAACGACAAACGCTTTGAATGGTCTTCTCGAGAGTCGAGCTAATCGTATTGTGAACTTCGAAGAAATTGGACGTTTTGGATATGATGCAAAAGATGCGCTTTTGCGACACAGTCGCATGCGTGGCGATGATTATCTTGCTAGAAAGTAAGCTATTTAACCCGCAGATAGTTTCTTTTCTAATATATACATATATAGGTACTATGCTTGTGCAGTGCTTGACTTTCTTCATCGCTCGAAAGCTCTCGCAGTATGGTCGAAGCTTGCTAGGGGCGAGGAGGTATCCCTGGAAGCAGCACTGGGAGCTTACGATATGTTTGTTCTACATGACAACATCGGTGATTTTCAGGAGGTATGCATGTTCCTCTATATTGCTGTATGTGTGTGAATGTTATCTAACGCATTGGCATAGGTCTCCGATATTCTTGACGACCTTGCCGCTCGTGTTCGAACTGACCATCCAAAATTCGATTATATGTCTACTCGACAACAAGCCCTCGCAGTTGTTACGTTTCTGCGCGACCGTAACCTTTTAGGTCTCAGTAATGAACTCAACTATCGCAATTTACAAAATAACTATATTAGCCTAGCACTGCAGGAGCCAGAGCATTCTTCGTTGCCACTGGTCTCTGTCGCGATATTTTGTGCGGTAGCTCGAAGAACTGGACTTGATGCTAGGGTCTGTGGTATGCCGAGTCACGTATATGCTATGGTTCTCCCAAAGCCTTCTATAGACCTCGATGACAAGCCACTTAAACAGAAGGACAGCGCCGTGGAACCCATGTATTTAGATCCTTTCCGATCAGCATCAGAAATCCCATTGGAAAATCTTCAGCGATTGTGGACGGCTTGGGGTGTCCGAGGAGTGTCATTCTCCGAATTCGTCGCGGATTCTTCTGCTACCAACAATGTTGTGCTTCGCACGACTAGAAATATAGTTACAACCATTCGAGAGTTCCCCTATATACGAAGTCGTCCCGCACAAGACCCATCCCTCGTGACTACTAGATTACAAAGTGTGCCATTGTTGGAAATGGACCATGCAATATACTCAGTCACCTGGGCAAGCTTTCTTTTAAACCCAACCCCAATACCTCCTGGTCATAACCAGCATCAATTAGTACCCATGCTGATGGCTAAATTCGAGAAATCCTTCCCGGAAGACGTCGGCCTTATCGAAGAATATATCCTTTCATCATACAATAGTTCAAGTAACGAGTACTCCGAACTAGTCGAGGAACTGAGAGTAATTCGCACGGTAGACTCCACTCCGAGGCAAGTACGGACTCGCAACAAATCTAATGGAACGGATCGGGTAAAATTCAGGATTGGGCAAGTATTTCGCCACCAAAGATACGGCTACACAGGAGCGATAATTGGCTGGGATGTTGGATGTCACATGGGCTCCAATTGGATAGCGCAGCACCAGATCGATTCTTACCCAGGAGGTAGGAACCAAAGCTTCTATCATGTACTGTAAGTAGCCCTACGATGTGCCGTGAAGAGTGGAAGCGCTTACGAATTCAACAGTGTAGAAGATGCTAGCTTACGTTATGTGGCTGAGGACAACATAGAGATCGTTGCTCAGCCGGACTTGACATCGTTGATGATAGTGGCGGGACAATACTTCAAGCGATATGATCAGGAAAACTGTCAGTTTATTGCGAATTTCAGAGACGAATATCCTGATGACTAGGGTTGGTATGTACATATATTACTACAATTGGACTTTCTGTAAGATTGAACAGCCAACAGGTTCTAATACTTAATTTATATCGCTTGAACTTCGTCTATGATCCCTTTTAGAATTCCCTTATCAGCTAGGCTTTTTAATGTACGATAGACTATTGGCGTGTGGTCTTTCTTCCGTCTCGCTGCCTGCTCATTCTCTTCGTTAATCAATGCCAATTCTTCTCTATAGGCGATGCGTAGTGCCTTTTGGTCGGAAACCCACTGCTGCTGTAGGCGAAGAAGGGCGCTCGCATTAGTACTCTCTCGCTCGAGTATATTGCATGTGCTCTCGGGAAGTGCTGTATCGTGAAGTAGTTCGTCTGTGACACCAAATTCCTCCGAGGGCCCTCTCATGAGTTCGGAACCATCAACCTGATTGAAGTCATTCCAATCAGACATCTGGTGTGCCAGCAAAGCCTCAACACGCTTTATAGCGTGGATATTCTGGGCGAGTTCTAATGGAATTATCCGAAGAGGACTTCTACACAAAGACAAAAGGTTAAACTGCAAATCATCACCGTACTTCATAATCTGTTCATAGATACTGGCACGAGCAACGGAAATCCAGTCATCATTACACGGCCCTTTAAATCGTCAGTATTATTCGACCAGTTGCTGTTTTCACCTACCTAGAGTGACTGGTTGACGTTGCAAGCCATCGAGTCTCCACACAACGCCCTCTACTGGAACGAATGCAACAAAATGAAAACCTGACTCCGCGTCTGACCTGGACTTGCTTCTTCCAGAGTTCTTTTTCGTTTTCCTCTTTTTCTTCCAAGCTGACACCTCATTCGAAATAGCTAAGTCTGCATTCAAAATATCCATTCTTCGAGCGAATGTATTATGAATGTTTCGGATAAACTCATTCTGACTGAGTTTCTGACCTCGGTATGCTGGTTTTAGAAACTGAGTGTCTTCCTTGAAACCGCGAATACCGTCCCCTAGATCAAGATTCGGGACGTTCATAACAATGTTCAGAAGGGCAATAGTAGCACAGGCGTTATGTGTAGTCTACATTCTGTTAGTCAATTTCTCATCAAGGTCTTGCTTGGGCTTGCCTAACTTGATTGGCAAACCAAATGTGGTTCGGACATTTTCGAGGTGTTTCTTCATCCTCCGAGTCATCCTCTATGTATTTGAATAGGAAGACTAATCCATACACTGGTTTCCTTGGGAAATGTCAATTTGGGTTTCAAGTATTGGTGGAAGCGGAAATTTTCATACCGTAGATACTGTAACATTTCGTCCTCCAGGCCAAGAACCTCCTGGATCTTGACATCCTTGACACCATACTCTCGTAATATGTAATTAAAAAGTGCCTAGCAAACAATGTATGTCAACTTAAAGAATCCCACCACCCCGAAAAGCAACTTACTGGATCACTCTCTAACTCACACCATCCCTTCCAAGACTTACGCTCGTCATCCGTTAAGGGCTTTAGTGCATCATCGAGGATCTCAGACTCTGGTCTCTTGATGTTTTGGCTAGAACGTTTGAGGCGACTTGTCGTAAGACCCATTGATTCACTTTCTATCTTTTGTGTTCCCGTGCCATTGCCACATCTGTCCGTATAGTCCCCACTTGGAGACTTGGACCTCTTTTGATTCCTCGAGGAACGTCTTCTTGAGCCAACATCAGAAGCTGTAGATTGTATTGAACAGTCCTCTGATACCGGAGAGCCATTCATCATTTGATCGATCTAATTGAGGAACCTTGAGACGGCAAAGTGATTGAAGAAATGACCAAACTTTGAGCTTCAGAGTGAAGTGCTGAATTTGTGTAATTCAGAAAATTGAAGGAAGGAAGGAAGGAGTGGGTTGAAAGTATCGGGATACCAAATTATGGGGCTCAAGAAGATCAGTACGTAGTGGTGAAGAAAGGTACCTAGCCAGGTCGATAAATGTAAGGTAGAAAGATCACTTTGTGTTGTGTGTCATGACCTGGGTAGTACTTGATTCACTTGATTTGGGCAAGGAATTAGGTGTAAATGACTATTAGGGAGACAAGCAGATAGTTAGGAAAGAAAGGATTTCTTTTTGGTTATCAATCCTGGATTTTATATAGAGAAGCCATTTGAATCCTTTGCATTTCTCATGTGTGAATTGTTAACTGCACTTGCTCGGGTCAATTGACCTTATGTTCTTTGCTATTCCAATAATGTTAAAAGAGATAAATTGATATAGGTAGATGTAGCTAGACGTCCTGGATGCGACAAGAAGAACACATGTCCATCTACACCTAAGCTGGCATGGGCTTGGACGAGGATACTAGAGCTGTATGGACGTACGGTAATCATGGACAAAATACTAGGTAAATCGTACACTAGGGAAATGTCTAGAGATAGACGGTTGTTGGTAACTACCTACCTACCTACTCTTTTCGAAGTTTCACATCAAATTAACTAACCATTGTTATATTGACTTGGAAGCTTTATCATGTTCAAATTTTATCTACCCAAATCAATATCATATAATAATAAGATACATAAAGTTATCAGATTTACCTGATGCCAATTTACCATTACCATGAAAGTGGTCAAAGCTTTGGAAATGCTGGCGCTGGAAACAACAAAAATTCACAAAATTCAAAAACGCGTCCCACAAGGAACTTCACTCGCGACTCTAGGCAAATTCTGTGCTTTGAGAGGAAACTTGGATTCTTCACATTTCGAATGTACGGTACCTATTCCTTTACATAAATAGCTACAATAATCTATCTCTTTCAGCTTCATCTCCCTCTTCATTCTCCTTTTCTTTTCTTATTAACTTTCGCGAATAGCTTGCCCACTCAATACAGCTTATTGTTTGACACGATTTCAACGAATAACCCCCCCTCTCAACTTTGGCCTCCAACGACTTTCGTCAAGATATAAAGAATGCAATGATTATAAAGCTTCTACACAATGAATGGGACTCCTAGAATGCGTTCTGGCTTTCCGCCTACTCCTGGCAGTGGCCAAAGAAATCCGACGGGACGAGTAACATCCCCATTGCGGGATCTTCCAACGGCTTCGCCTGCTGCGATAGAATCCGATGCGCCATTGATACCGGTAGAGCTCATTGATGCTCCTAGCCAGCGCATGTATGTTACGGGACTGTATGGCTTGCTACTTGTATGGCGTTTATATGATTGGTGGCAGTTGGTAGAGGATGAATCAGAGTCTTTCCCATTATTCATGAAATGGGTAATGCTGGACGCACTCTTTTTGTACTGGGTACCCAAACTACGAATACCGTGGTTGGAGTGGTCACAATGGACATCTCATGTAGCTTTTGGGCTGCATGCTATCTTTGATTTCGTTCTAATGTTCAGAATTGGCGTAAGTGGTCCCTGATTCTGTTTTGGTGACGATAAAGCTAATTCGAAAAGCTTCCACTACAAGGATGGGTTCTACTTCTTACGAAGACCTTTTTCGACAGCGAACTCGCTATTTCAGAGAACAGTGTTCGGCCTGCCACCATTTTACACAACTCATCTTTGATTATGGGTAGGCAAATTATCAATATATTGCCAGAGGGGTACGTCTTGACCAAGGTCATATAATTCACAACTTGCTATATCGTACTAATATATAACAGATCAGCGACATTGAATCCGGATGGTCTCCCATTCTGTTTAGATAGTAGTCGTCCTTCTGTCAAGCTCCCGATGTATTTTAACCAGACCAAACCTGTACACATTGAACTATTACGCTTCGACTTCGATACAAATGCAAACGAAACGATAGAGCTGAAGAAAAGAGACATGAAGAACGTTCGAAAGATGGATGATGAGCCAAACGTTTATACGCTTGACTACATTGTGAAGAAACCAGGATTATACAGGCTTCACAAGATTATAGATCAGTCGAAGCTCGAAGTACAGCGGAGAATGTCTGATACGCTTGTTGTAGGATGCCCTAAAGCCATCATCAGATCCACGAGCTCAGACAAGTGTCTAGGAGATCTTTCCGACCTCTCTATCGAGCTTGAGGGAACAGCCCCGTTGAAGATTGTGTATGGACGTACCATCAACGACAAAGATCGCAGTTTCCACTTCCAGAGTAATCAACCAGAAAACTTCGTCTCGCCGCTGCTGGGTTCAACTAGGCCCAGCACATTGCTTACCCTAGGAAATCAGGATGTTTCGTGGGGACAAGCTAGAAAGGTTGTTATTCCATTGAATGAATCTATGACCCCCAGCGGTTTGTGGTTATACTCGATCAATGAGATTCACGACGCTACTGGAAATGTCGCAAACTTCACGCTTATTGGTGAAGATGGAGAGCTCATCTATCCCAAGAACACACACATGGAACAGAGTCTTACAGTCCATGAGAGGCCCCTTGCAAGGCTCTCAGGCTGTGATTCCAGGAGTCCACTTATGGTTGCTATCGGCCAATCTACACAACTTCCGGTAAAATATGCATCGCCTGGCCGAACACCAGACGACACTTCTCATACTCTGACATACAAGTTCTCTCCCCTTGACACTCTGACCGCCGCGGGTGATCATGGCAGCGAGGTGACTTTTGAGGAATACTCTGCCCGCAGTGCCCACCAATCGCCAAATATCCGCGAACCAGGTCTTTATACCCTGGTGGGCGTTAAGAGCAAATTCTGTGAAGGTGAAGTCAGGGAGCCTGCTTCTTGCTTACTGCTGAATCCACCCGAGCCGCAGCTGTCTATAAGCGCCGAGAATATCAACGACAAGTGTGCTGGCAATTCCATTGGCTTGCTTGTTGACCTTGACCTAATAGGCACTCCGCCGTTCGTAGTAAGGTACAACATCATTACAAAGAGTGGTCTGAAGCATGAATCCGTGAAAGTATCTGGATTGCGACACCAACTGGAGCTTAAGCCGCGCGATGCAGGTCATTTTAAATACCAGTTTACCTCTGTGGACGATGCCGTTTACAAGAACCACAAATTGAATAGCAATGATTTAGTTTTGGAGCAGGATGTGAAGCCACCGGCTTCAGCCTATCTTAGACGGCCTGCAGGTGATATTGACGCATGCATCGAAGAGCCTGTGGAGATGAATGTGGAGCTCTCTGGCGAACCACCTTTTACCTTGGAATACGAGATTGTTCATGACGGAAGACGTCGAAAGCAAAAGGTCACTGGAATCGAAAGCGACATCTACAAGATAAAGACGGATCCTTTGATCACTGGTGGAGAATATTCTCTCGCTCTTGCAAGCGTTCAGGACAAGACAGGTTGCAAGATATTCCTTAACGGCGAGGTCAAATTTATGGTGAGACACCAAAGACCCCGAGTTGCTTTCGGTCACCTGGATGGCAAGCATAAGATTATGACCATCGAGGGCACCAACATCCCGCTACCTCTTCGCTTGACTGGTCAGCCTCCTTGGAGCATCAAATACCGAAATGTAAATGATGATTCTGGTAAGATTTTGGAGAAGATTGCTATGTCGACCAATGATGCGGTTAAGGTGGATGCTCGTGGTACATACGAATTACTTGATGTAAATGATAATCAGTGTCCCGGGACAGTCGATCCCAAGGCATCCTTATTTGAGGTTGATTGGCTTCCAAGACCGAAAATTAAAGTTGCTGATAATTCGGCTCTTGTGCTGGACGGTGAGAAATATGTTAAGCATGAAGTATGCGAAGGTGATATAGATGCAGTCGAGGTCAATCTTATTGGTAAGCCAAGCTACTCGTCCAAGGTCATATCTGACTCGGCTAACAATTCACAGGTTCCCCTCCTTACCACGTCAAGTATGAGATTCGTCACAAGCCAGAATATGGCTCGGCATCTATCAGTAACAAAGAGTTTGACGCAGGTCTCGGACTTTCAACAGTTTCCATGGACACAATCAAGCCTGGTCTTTATGAATATAAATTCTCGGAGCTTTCTGACAACCTTTATGACCATGACTCGAAGAAGTTTTCGCCGCTCATCATTGAGCAAAAAGTCAACAGGAAGCCAGCTGCAAATTTTATCAAACCAGGACAGTCATATAAATATTGCAAGGAAGAGCTCGCCGGAGACGAGGTCATTCCTATTAAACTCGAGGGCATTCCTCCCTTCTACCTTGAAATCGACATCAAACATCAGAGTAGTGCGAGACCAGAAACTGTCAAGATTGCCAACATCGATTCCAACCATTATGATTTCCGGATACCTCACCGAGTGTTGTCGCTAGGCATTCATCAAGTCAGTGTACGCAAGATTCGTGACTCCAGAGGGTGTCAGCAAAAAACAGAACATGGTGCTCCTCATGTACAAGTGCAGGTTTACGACGTTCCTACTATTCATCCCTTGGAGTCTCGTACAGACTACTGTGTGGGTGAACGAATCGGGTACACATTATCGGGCACAGCACCTTTCGAAATTTACTATACTTTTGAGAACGTGCAAAGGAAAGCAAAATCACCAAATACTAGTTTCAGACGTATTGCCGAGAAGCCAGGCAACTTCACAATAACTGCTATATCGGATAAGGCCAGCGAATGTAAAGCAAAGACTGAGATCACAAAGATTATCCACCAAATGCCCAGCGTCAAGATCAGTAAAGGAAGACAGGTGGAAGTTGATATTCACGAAGGTGGACAAGCTGAACTGCTATTCGAATTCTGGGGCGTACCACCTTTTGAGTTCACATACACAAGAAGTACGAACGCGAAGAAGGGCCAGAAGTCTCATGTGCTGGAGACCAGACATGAGATTTCATATGAACACAGCAAGACGATACAGTCTTCGCAGGAAGGTACTTACGAAGTAGTGGCCATTAAGGATCAATTCTGCTCCTTCTCGACACAAAAAGCGGATGGAAAGAGTGGGCAGAAGTTACTTCAGTATTAAAATGGGGTGAACTTGATGATGCATAGCGCGGCGTTAGGGTAAATTGTATTTAACGGAGAAATATTGTAATGTCATGAATGGCAATAGACAGATCAGCTTCATAAGTTGAAGCTCCAGTATCCCAACTTTTGTCTTATATGAACTTTTCACGTGTACAAATCCTAACATGCCACTGTCAAGATCACTCTCTTTCCAATTCTTTTAAATAATCGACGTCAAACCTAAATCTCTTTCCTTTGTTCCAATCTAGTCCCCAATCAATATCCCCGGCCTCCACTTTCACTGCCTTCAAAGCTCTCAGTCCGTCCAAGATCTCTTTTTTCTGTTCCAACGTGTAAGTCTGCGGGGGCTCTTGCCACCCAATCCTCAAAATTTGAAGGTCAGCCCCTGCTAACCATTTCCTCAATTTCTTAATTCCTTTAGTTACTTCTATTAGTCTCGCCTCCGCTTCGAAGTCATCGGGTTTCTGTTTTCGTTTCTCGCTACCAAGTTGGATAGAGAGGGATAAATTCCGAATAGACGAGGTGAGGAACGAGGAGAGAACTGAATTGGAGCGTTGCGTTTTGTGTGTCCAGATATTGTAGTCGGCGATTACAGAGATAGTTTGAAGGGAGTCGCCGTAAAATGTTGGGAGCGCTTCGTGATATATTTGGCGATTGAGATGTAGAACGGCGACTTCGAAAGCGCGAGAAAGATAAATATGAGATTGGAGTTGGCGAGGATGGGGGCCAAGGCGAGGATCATTGGAAGGAGGTGTCAGCAAATGACGATAGATTAGTTGGCGGATTTCGACTGGCATACGTAGGAGTGAGGGAAGGATCTCGGGCGAAGGGATCTCATTCAAATCATTATGGATTTCCGCACCGAAATCGACTCTTGGCACTGCATTGGAAAGTGATTGAGTATATTGTTGCAGAGTAAGAAAGTGGGTACGGAGGTCGGATTTGCGGAGCGACCAGACAGCATCTTCTGAGATGGTGAGAACTTGTTCGATTGTAGGTGCCCGCTGTGATATCTTTGCAGCAGCTATACTTGCGGCTGTGCAGATACGTTTGGGTTTCAAATCTTCGGAAGAGTGTGATTTGTGATTATAGGTTCGCTTCAGCGGGGCAGCTGAAGATGCCATTCTCAAATCGTCATCTGCCGAAGCACAAAGATTGGTTGGTATGCTCGGAAGGTTACATGGATAGATAATAGTTCGCTTAGCGATTGAGATAAGATAAGTAGATCAATCTCAAAGCACCGGCCCGAGCGGCCCTTGTTTTATTTAGTCTTGTGTCCCCGCCTTACCATAAGGCTGAATATATCATTGATCCACTTCATGAACGTCGCAAAGGCTTTTAAATATGATGAATTGAGTCAAGTTCCATAATTCCCGAAATGAACCAATCCTCTGATACTTCTCCGATCGATTCGTGTCCATCTTTCCTTACTATTCCCTCAAAGCCACATGCTCCTATATCTTACACCTTCTTTCCACGTGCATCTTCTTCAACCCTCTCAGAATCGAATGTCCCACTACACCACATCCTTGTTGTCTTTATAAATGGACTCGGTCTTCCCGCTTCCTCATGGGAGTCATGCATATCAGTTTTTCGATCTCGTACCAAGAAAACCCCACCACTCTTGACATTTGACCGTTATGGGCAAGGACTGACTACTGCAAGAGATCCTCTAGATGATGGAAATGGTTATGGGCATGATTTCATGGACGCTGCAAATGATCTCCACGAAATCATTCTAGTTATTGCTAGTAAGAAACTTGGACTTGAGAAGACCGATGTCGAAAATGGGAGACTGAGTGTAATATTCGTGGCTGCCTCAGTTGGAGTAAGTACTTTGTGACATTGTTTTTCGCCCTGTCTACGAATTATATAACCTCAAAATAATGTTTCTACCAGGTTCCCATAGCCCGTCTCTATATACAGTTCCATCCATTCATTTGCGCCGCGCTCATCGCACTTGACTCCAACATCGCCAACGTAAATTATAGCGATTTCCTCCCAGATCCTTTGTCCCCCACCTTCGACCCCTCTACCGTACTCGCACCAGACTGCTCACTTCACCAATACATTGAAGCGCGCACGCGATTGACAAGTGTGTTTGATTTGTCCGTCCCAAACTCTGAATCCATGGATCGACGACCTGGTCCAAAATTACTCCCCAATGCTGATAACCCTAAACTTATTGGTGCAGATGGAAAAGGTCCGTGGCTTACAATTGTAGGGCATGATCCAGTCACGTTTGCAGAAGTGAGTTTGGAAAGGATGGGAACACCTAAGAGTATGAGTATGAGGTTTACGAATCCGTAAGTTTGTATTGTTACAGTGCTCTTGGCGGGAACGTTTGACTAATCAACGTTGTGGAGATACTGGGCCATGTATAATGCCGGCCTGGTGAGTATCACAGATGAAGATCGATGTGAGGGTGTGAAGATCGCGAGTGGCTGTGGTCACTTTATACAAATTGATGATCCAGATCTCGTTGCTGAAGAAATTAAGGTTATTCTCAAAAAAATTGATTTAGCATGAATGAGTATTTGAATTGGAGTTAAATGAATGAACAAGACTAGCTACTACACGAGATGTCTGACCGCCGAGCTGCTGCTTTCCGCCTGCCATTTGTACTCGTGCATCAATGCCAACCCAAATGCAATCATTACTTTCTAGTTTCATACTACCCAGTTGTGCAAAATTGCCAATTTTCCAAGAACAATTGAGGAAAATGAGAAATGAAAAGTATTTCACATGATACTGGATACACCTGCTCTCATACAGTGGAAGCATGTAACTTGACTTTAACACCGTTGGCGGAGGAAACTGTGAGTTTGACTTCATGTTTCACGACTGGGTCCGTTGCCATATCTCGAATTCTATCAAACCTTTGGAGAAGTCTTACAGTAACATAACCGGCTTCATTCAAGGCAAATTGCTGCCCGATACAAATCCTTGCACCGCCATTAAACTTTTCAACGTCAGTGATTAGTCTCGGACGGGAAAAGAGCTGAATCCAAACTTACAGGTAAAAACTCCCATCCCATCTCTCAGGTCGAAACTCCTCAGCGTCATCACCCCATATATCCTTTCTACGATGCATGACGAAAACACTGTATTCGACTATTGGCCCTTTTGGAATAAAGACTTTCGATTTTCCATCCTTTCCACCGCCATGTGGTAGGGTCGTGTCCTTGTTTGCTTGTCTCACGCTAAAAGGTACAAGTGGATAAACTCGCAAAGCTTCATTCAAACAATGTTGGAGATATCGGCAATTTTTGAGGTCCGTGAAGTTTATTTTCAAAGGATTTTCGTATGTTCCAAAGTTTTCGATAACGATATTGCGCAGCTTTTGGTATTGATTGGGATTTTGAGCGAATAAAAGAAACAACCATCCTAGTAACGAGGCCGTCGTGTCTCTACCTGCTAGCATTAAATGTAAGCACTGAGAACGAAGCTCAATTGGATCTTGTGTTTCCTTTGCAAGGGCGTCCAGGTATATATATCTCTTCTTGGTGGCGGTTGAATCATCTTTGTCTTGATCTTTGGCCAGTGAGTTTCTATCAAGAGCAAGCTGAACAAAATAATCGACATATTCGTTGCATTTGTTGCAAGAATTCCTGAAGTCTTTGCTGGTGACCAGCCAATAATTATCAGCAAAACGGCCACGAGTATAAACCCAAGATAAAGCGTTGTCAAACTCGGCCGCAAAATCTATTCTGGTACCCGAGGCTTTTGATTGATTTTCTGGTAGATTGAGAAGCTGGGTATTAGCAGACCTAAAAACATTGTTGGCTTAGTTATAATTGTACATCATCAAAGATTATTGCATACCGCCCCCGGAACATTGGGGGGAGAGTGCAACGCGACTGCGATAAAGATTCTACCTACTGTCCAAGTAGAACTTCTGTTGCAGAGTCCATGGTCAATCGAAAGAAAAGAACTTGTAGATCGGTCTCTTCGGTCCAGTCACCCTGAAGTCTGGTATCTATAGCTCTCATCAAGTTCTGGACATGCTTCTCCTCCAACTCGAAATCACTCATCTGATCCCGATTGAACTGGGGTCTCATCATATCCCTTGTTACCTTCCATTCGTGACCATCTTGTGTAAATATGCCTTTCCCAAGCATAGGCCAGAGGGCCCCTATCCGCACTGGCCCTAGATCAAAGTCGGCAAATTGTGTCGCTAAAACAGCCTTTACATTTTCAGGATCTACTGTAAAAGACTCGACGTATTCATGATTGAATACTTGAATGTTATGCTAAATTTTTCGACATTTCTTTTCTTTGAAGGAGGGTTGGGAAGTACTTTCCACGATTGGCCTCCAGAGCTATCTTAATGGTATCAAGACCGAAAGGCCAACGGCTGATAGTGTCTTTCGGTACTGGCTCTTGACACTCGAATTTGCGCAGTTTGGCAGAACATATGTGTGATTTGTATATCCTGTTCGCAAGGAAAATAGAAGAAGAGGAAGAAAGCTACCCAGATACTTATAGAAGCCATATCTCCAATGTGTAGCAAAGATACAGTTTCGAATAAGTTGTATGGCGTGTTACTCCAATCCTTGAGAAGATGCGGCAAACACTGGAAATTTGAATGATAACGAATGAAGCAAATTTATGATCAGATTGGTGACGGAGTAGCTAAGTCAACGTCGCGTCTATATCTCAACAGTTGGCGGCGTGTGCACACAATATATCAAGCCAGCAAACAGAGAATACCGAGGGCCTTTTTCCTGATAAGGAATCATTTGATAGCCAATACCTAGGTATATAAATAAACCTATGCAATAGTAATCATTTGACAGCCAATACCTAGATATATAAATAAATCTATACAATAGTAATCACTGCAAATGTACCTAGGCACATGCGGAACACACCCACCCGAGCCACCCGAGCCACCCGAGCCACTCGAGGTATTTAGATGGGTAGGTAGCTGGAGGTCCGACTTACCTACCTACTTTGCACAGAATCTAGATGTGATCCTATCACATCGTCATGACCCATATTTTGTAAGCCACTTTGTCAATTCACCAATCATAAATTCGAGAACAATTGATTCCTGATAACTTGAAGTCCATTGGTTATTGAAATCCCCATATCGCGAATTTGACACGAAAATTCGCCATTCTATCTAGATAGGTAGTGAGCAAAAGAGAAAAAGACGCGCTCTCAAGGATTTCCTTCCCTTCTTCTCGACTCCTTCCCTTTCACTATTCCAAACGACCCCGCTGGTCACATCTCGCCGTCCCTTCCCATCATATATTTTCTTACCGCCATAACATAGAATACAATAAAACTAACCAAACTTATCACATCTTTCATATTCCTACCAGGGATTTACTCCCAAAATATTAGCTTCCCACCAAAACACCAAACTTCTGCTCGTACCGCATGCAGAAAGAACATTATAAGAGCCGTCAAATTCATATACAAAGTAACATAATCGTGAGAATAGAAGTCGATGCTCGTCAACATCAATGTGAATCGTAAACGTAAAATAAGCATAAATCAGGGCAAGAGATCACCACCCAACTGCATGCCAAGTCCGGTATGCTTAGAAGCAGGACTGTCACGCCTTGATGGGCTTGCATTTTGTGGATGGAAGTTCTCAAAAGTCAAGCGCCTACGTGCAACAGTTAATGGGGTCTTTGCAGCTCTTGGGGTCCAAGTCGTCTGAGCGGGACTTGGTGTTATGTTGACAAAATCGGCGAAGTCGAATCCTTGTGAAGGTGTGGCCGGCGCACCGAATATCGAAAAACCCCCGCTATAACTAGGAGTAGTCATCATAGATGATGGCAGATCAAGCTTCCGGGAGGGTGGTGTAGATGGTGGCTGCATCATGCTTGTTCGTGAGATTGGATTTGCGGGGCTACTAAGGTACAGTAAAAGATCCGCTTCTTCTTCTGCTGACCTGCCATTACCTTCTTTGATTCGACGGTGTGTGTTGCCTCTGTTCCTAATGGGAGACGGGGTTCGCGGAGATGAAGGTCGGGTATTAAAAGAGTGTAGAGGAAGGTGGCTCTCTTCATCGTCAGATAGGGCTGCGAAGTTAGGAGAGGTGAGGTCATCTGGCATATGTGAAGATCCCCGGTAGAACGAGAGATCTGGTCCTGCCGAGGTGGTGAAGTGAGGTTTGCGTGGCTTGATGGGAGACGACTGGGCCAGTTGACGGTGACTTTTCCAGGAGCTATTTGGTTGACGTAATAATCTACTTGGTGTGGGGGAAGAGCGAACTCTTTTTCGAGATCCAGCTGTTGAGCTTGGTTGTTGGAACGTAGTGTGGTACGACCTCTTCCTAGGCCCAATGCTGCTACCACTCGATACAATTCGATCGGAAAATATGGCGGTGGCTTTCAAAGGGGAACTCAGTAAGGTTCTTCGGTTCGAGTAAGGGATTTCAGACGCAACACTGGAGGATGAGTCCGATAACATATCTCCACTTGAGGTTGGCCGTCTTCTTCTTAATTCTTCTTCCATCCTTGGTTCTATTGTATCCAGTGTAAGATCTTCCCAACCCCTTTCGGCTTTGAATTGTGCGAGCGCCAATCGATTTTGCAGTTTCCGAGCCATCTAGATAATTTGATATTAGTATAGTGTCGGGGCAGTGGACTTGATTCGAATAGCACAAGAAGGTGTCTACCTTGCTCAACTCAGCTCTTTTCAATACCGCTCCCGCTACCTCCTCTGGCTGCTTCTTCCATGGGGAAGACATATCAATCACTATATATTCTGTTGAGAATATTGATCTGCTTGTCGATGAGGCTGCGAAAGAAGTATATATAAGAGGTAAAAATCATGGAAAGTGTTAAAGGTAGAAGTGGAAGGCCGGCGCCAAAGGTTGAAATTAGCCTTAGCTTCTTCCACCTGGTTTTTTTTTTCTTGGACAAGATTTTCGTTGCGGGTCAACAGCGATATAAATGAATGAATGTACAAAAGTTTTTATAAAATTATTTCCCCTCCAAATTTGGAGTTATGGTAGAGTTTTTCCAAAAAGTGAATTAATTGTATGATGATTGAATGGTACGGATTGAAGATGAAGAGGTCAGAATTCCGTTGCTCATTCCTGGGACTGCTACCATCGCTTACAAGGGGAAGTGATCAGACTGAGCTGAGCTGAGCTGCTAAGGGGCTATTGGTCTAGCGGTCTAGCGGTAATTTTTTAGGTGTTCAGGTTCTGTAATGTGCTTAAGACAAACGAATTATAGGGCTCAGGTAAATTGAAAGCTTCTCAAGAGCCTCTGGGTCAAAGGAAGAAAGAAGGAGATAGAGAGAGAAAGGAAGACAGACATATGGCAGTCAGAAGAAGGGAAATCGAACTTTTCAGCATTGACCAATGATAGATGGTGTTTTTGAAGGTAAGACTCAAATTCTAGATATCAAACAGTCTGTTGAGTTGTATCAGAATCCGATTGGGGGGTTTAGATTAATGAAGTTTAGGCCGGAGTAGATTGTCCATATTTTAGATGCGACACTGATTAGCTATTGAATCTCGAATTGTGTTATTGTGTTATATAATAACACTATCTGTAGTAGTTTATTGAATCTTTGTATGGAGGGAGCATCTCGAAGGTACGTACAGAGGATGGTATGATATACCTGTACTCACTCTCTGAGAACCATGCATTGTTAGACAATCTCGGTCGTTGCTACGAGTCTACCTAGGTACGCACAGTATACTGTATGGAATGTGTAACTACTACATACTTGCTGGAGCGAGTAGGCAGTCTCGTTTGTTTTTCGAGCCCCTCAAATATGAGCGTCTTCTCTTCCTTTAGCTATCCGTATTTATCAGTAGCTAGAACGGTAGCTAGGAAGAAGTCTTTTCCTCCTTTAGTCCGTCCCTGTGCCACTCCAACGTCATCTCTTACCGTGTCCCCTCTGGAGTCTGGAGTCTGCAGTCTGAAGTCTGAAGTCTGGAATGCGCAGTCAACACGACAGATATGTTATGTAGGAATCAATAGGCCGCAGCACACAAAACAGTATAGGTAAGTCGACCACCCTACTTTCAAACCACCCTTGTTTTGAGCTACTCTTTTATACCAAAAATTACTTTTTTAGCCTATTAATATCTCTATCAATATTAAATATAATTTAGTAAAAATTTATATACATATAATTCAAATTATTCTAAATTTATATTAGAATTTTTGGATTTCTAGGATTTTTTTAGATTGAGATTTAAAGCTTCAAAATATTGATTTTTCAATTTATATGGGAATTATATATAAATTTAAAGCTTTTATATAATCTTTAATAACTTTTTAATAATAATTATTAAAAAAAAAAACTCTATATCTTTTTGAAGATTTCAAATCTGAATCTATATAGAAATTCCCCCCAAAAAATTGAATAAATGAATAAATGTAGAGATATAGTATATAATGAATTAAAAATAGTATAAATAATCTCTACAATTTTGAAAATATCTTTTTAAATATTTATTTATAAAAACATTTCGATTTTTTTTAGAATTTTTCAAAATTAATATATTATAAATTTATAATAAGATTTTATAGTTTATTTTTAGTAATTTTTATTAACAAATCATTAAAGATTTTATAAAAGTTTCAAATTTTTATATAATTTTTATACGAATTAAAAAATCGATATTTTGAAGTTTTATAAATCGATTCACAAAAGCTCTAAAAACTTGAAATCTTTAAAATAGGATTGAAATAGCTTGAATTATATAAATATAAAATTATATTAAATTATATTCAATATTGAAAAACATATTAATAGATCAAAAAAGTGATTTTTAGTGTAAAAGGGTGGTTCAAAAGAGGGGTGGCTCGAAAGTGGGGTATTCGACTTACAATTGAATCATGATTCTCATATGATTGCAGCAAGTGTCGATAGAGTGAATTGGGTTACACCACTGCTAAATTCTCCCTGTGTCAAAGGGATGCTTTCGGAGCATCAATGGAAGGTATTGACGATCATTCATCAAACATGTGTCTCTTGTTGTACTGGATTCCGTTGGTTGGATGGATAATCATGTCATGTTAGGTCATGTCATGTCACGTATTGTCGAATTGGATTGGATTGGATTGTTGTATTGTATTGTAACGGGTAATATATATTGGCTGCAGGATCAGTTGAAATGCGGCCCCCAATGCAGCAGAATTTTGAATGATAAAAAAAAGAATCTTGATCTTGACATGATTGGTTTCATCAATTGGCTGACGCTACGATGCGATACGATACGATGCACGATGCACTCACTGTCTGTGTGATCATAGTGCAGAGTACTCTTTTTCTTTTCCGCTCAACATAAAGTGGATATGGCTGGGTAGGAGGGAGGCTCGAGGATGGATTATGGATAACATAACGACGGAGTATTCATGGATGTCATTAATTGCAAGGGCCCCTAAGTGATAAACGCTACTAGGTACCAGGTAAGGTAGGAACTATAGATATCCTTGAAAGCATGCTCCCCGCCAAACTGTTGCCGTCTTGTCTATAAGGTGTCTTTCAAGTTTCAATGTGTTCGGTTTTCCAGTGTAGTACGGAGTTCCGAGGTTGGATCAATTTTTACCATAATATTATTGTATTTATATCTATGTTATATTTATCTTTACAAATAGGCGGCCATCACATATACCTCCATATATATACCTACCTAGGTATATATGGATTGGCATAGACTTTCTTATCTGCTACTTACTTATTACTTTTGTCCTATCACGTCCCACCTGCACCGACTTACCTAACTGACTACTAGGTACTTACAACCTACCTAGTAACCAACTTCATCTCCAACCGTTCCACTCATCTACCACCTACCACCTACCTACGTCCCTCACTACGTATTTCATAATGAATTAAAGATCATCTAGCTAATTACCCTTTTTCTCTTCCAATTTCAACTCAATTGAACAATATCTAATCCTCTCTTACAATCTACACGTAATAATGATGATAAAATAATCAAATACTCTTCAAGAATCCTCCCTAATATCATTTCCGAGGTCATCCATCATTACACTCATTCTCTTTGTTGTTCTTGTTCTTGTTCTTATCCTTCTGCTTTTGATACGAGCGCTCAGTGATGCTTGATTGATTGGGAAACGTTAAATCCATTAATATATTTAAAAACATTCACACCCACCATTCACACCTTCGTTTTGCCTTTCTGAAAAAAGGATCTGCCTTCTTTGATTCCCCATTGATTAAATATCCCTGGAGAACTTCTTTCCCCCTAGCCCCCCATCAGGAACTGCAAGCAAGAAGCTTCATCATTTTAGTCCTAAAATTAGCACTCCTCTTTCTCAACTACGGCAGTCGAGGGAAGCACTCCCTTGAATGAAATACCACCAAAGGTCTGCCATCATCTCTGCTGTCATCAATCCCGAAGGTTTGTTTCAACGTCCTCTTCGCTTTGATATCAAAACATCACAAGCTAACTCATCTGGAGACCTTGTCTTCAGCTACACTCCTTGCTCTAGCTATATCATGGCCCCTTCCTTTTTGAAGGACTTTAAGAGGCGCTCCAAGTCCGGCGCAAAAACAACCGACTCCAGCACAGGTGAATCCACTGGTAGTAATGCGAGTGGTGGAAGTGCCCCTCGAAGCAACACATTCACTTCGAGTAAATCACAAATATCCTTAAATTCTTCTTACGGCGCTACAACCCCACCAACAATGACAAACTCACAGTCCTCATCGAACCTCAACGGTGCGGGAGCAGCTCGACCAACTGTTTCTACCACTGGATCAAATAGACATAGTGTATCTGGGATGTCGGGTGTAGGATCCCCTTCTTCAAAGTCGGCTTTGCCCGTCTCGCCATATTCGCCGCGAATTCTATCCATCACCGACAACACATGGGTAAGCTTTCCTATCTTAGCTCCAGGATTGGTGAAGCTTATACACGTCATAACAGGTATACCAAAAGGTCTTATCGATATATGGCACAATATCTGATCCATCAGAAGTTCAAATAGATGGGACGCTCACAGTCACTCGTCTAGACGATGGATTTCCTCCGACATACTGGCCGGTCTCCGAGTCTCATTTCAAGGCACTTGTTTACCTTACCCCGGGACCGAATAGATTGAGATTCGATTTCACATCTCCAAAACTCGCGAACAGCAACTCTCCTAATCCTGTACACTCCTCTTTCCTCACTCTTCACATGCTGCCTACTCTTACAAATCCTCCACTTCAATTGGTTATACTGCTCGGAAAAGATTCACCCGGCACATTTGATGCTGTTCCTTCGCGCATTGAGAGAGAAGGCAATGGCCTGGATACTGCCATACGAAAATTCAGAATGGCCGCTTATCTGTACGTATATTTCTCATCTTTATAAATTTCTACTATCCTAGTGGTGAGTAGGTAAGTTGTCATTGCTGGAATTGACTATCAGCATTTTTCTGTGGAATCAGTGGCTCCGGGAACGAAATTTTTTGGGGGAGGGGGAAAGAGGGCGAAAGCATATCCTATCACTTTGATTCTTGTTTTTCTATCAGTCTCAATATCGATCTTCTCTACCTAAAGAGAACGGACTAACGGTTAGTAGGTGGCAAGCATTTACCGCTGAGCAGATGTACCGAAATAAGCTTGGTAGGAGGACATTTAGATTTGAAGAAGAGTGGATCACGGGAACCTCGAACTATAGAGACCGGGAAGCTGGGACAATGCGAAGTGAAGCCAAAATCCATGTTATTCGAAGCTCTAAGACTGTTGCTGAACTTCGGCATCTTGATGTCGCCCAGCAGAACGAAAATGGTGCCCGCCGAGGCGATCTATTTTCCTTTGCCAGTGAAGACGTCAAAAACTATTTTAAGCCCCAGCCAGGTCAGAAACAGTATGTGACAGTTCTCCTCCTGGACGCTCATTGGGAGAAACAGCACAATATGATCACTGGTCATGCGGCCCTCGGAGGTGGAGGGGGCGAGCTTCAACTAGCTATTTTTGGCAGTCAGGCGCTACAAAGTTATCCATCTACACTCGAAGAAGTTGTGCCAGCATTCTCTGATTGTACAACCACCGATACTAATTTTGTAGCCAATGACTGTAATGAATCCGGCAGCAACTGGGAGGCTGCCAACATTGGAATAGGTGCCCACTTACATGAAGTGGGCCATTTGTTTGGATGCCCTCATCAAGAGAACGGTGTAATGCTTCGAGACTACGTCATGTTGAACCGATCATTCACCACCAGAGAACCTTATTCAACACGCACCAGATTGAAGGGAGGGCTAGTTCTACCAAAAGACGAATGCACATGGCATAGGCTAGACACTCTACGCTTTCGAAGTCACCCATCGTTCGCACTTCCTACAGATCCTCCGCGAGCTAACGATGACTCTATACAAGTCTGGCCTGTGGATAATGGAAGCGTGATAATTACAGCGGCATCTGGTGTAGCTTTCCTCGAAATATTTACGGATGGCGAAGATCTTTGTCACTATTGGCAAGAGTTTGGAGATGGGAATGGCAATGGTCCTATTCAACGACAAATTGCTCTTACAGAGCAAGATTTAAGAAATCAGCTACCCGAAGACCGCCGAAAAGCAAAATTGAAGATATCCGTAAAGTCATTTGCTGGTGGCAGCCATGATGTTGATGACTTTGCCCAACTCGTCTCAAAAGCTAGTAAGCTAAAATTGAAGAATGGACAGATAGCTTTCAGGAGCAGTAAGCTGGGTGCATCGCAGATGGACGGAACCCAGCCACAAGAAGTCGTATTTGACAGTTCAATTCATCAAACGAAACTAATGATACAAGTGAGAGTGTAAGTAAAAAAAGCTTGTTTCAACCCGGCTGGAAGGACCATATTGGGTCGCAATTCGCACAACTCTTAAAATGCTTCACCTAAGTACGATGACTGATTTGCATTATAGTTGGGCGGGCTTCGCTCTCGACGGTATAGAGTTTATTTATGAAGATGCGACCTCTCAACTTTTTGGCAAGAGGGGTGGATCATCCGCAGATTTCAGTCTTGGTATGTGACCAAATCTCCAGATGTCCCGTCTGAACTACTAATAATTTTTTTTTAGATACACGTCGTGGAGAGTACATTACTGGATTCTACGTCAGAAGTGGGTTGTGGTTGGACGGAATTGCAATTATGACTAGTTTAGGCAGGAAGTCCCAGGTTTTTGGAAACCCTGCTGGTGGTTCTGGGTTAGTGTTTTCCTATCCTGCGCCGGTGCTATATCAAATAAGTTGCTAGGACTTACAAATAGTTCATATTATTACATCCGGTCATTTGCATAAGATCTCGCTAACACTTCCAGGCATACTTTGATACCCCCGAGAGGATACACTATTGCAGGCGTTTCAGGATCATGTGCATCATGGATTGATGGGTTTGGTATCATTCTTACTCGGTAGAAAACATTAAGGTAATCGCTGAGGGAGCGAATAGTACGCATTAATATTGTATAATTTGGTTTGGGAAGACGTGGTTCGAACGGTCCTACAGATTACCGTTTATCCTATGATATTTATTTCTCTGGGTGGTTAGTAACAATACCTAGGTAAAAGCTTCAGTACGAATGGCGTAACTTGGGCATATCTATAGAGGCGTTTTAGAATAAATGACAGATTTTCCAGTTCCTGACAGCCTTGAATGAAGTGATTGCGGGATATATCTGTGAAACACATCTGTGGAATATATCTGTGAGCTGTGCATATTTTTCGAGTCCTACTCAAAGTTCTTGGCAAGAATGATTGTATCACCAAGTACATGATTGGGTGCCCAAAAGCTTATGTATGTAATAAATGACCAGTTCGAATTCGATCTTTGTCCATGGGGTGAAAAGGCTGTGCAATCCATTCAAATTCCTTCCAAGGCAATAACAAGTGCTATTGGTGTTTTAAGGTTTGCTCAAGCCCCTTGTTCAGCTGTGGCTTGGCGATATCTCAACGTCATGGCTGGTAAAACCAAGCTCTTCAAACGAAAAGAAAACAAACCTAGAAAATCACTCTTCCCCAAAAAGGCTCAAAACCAACAACCTCACGATACCCTCACATATTTCCTACACCTCGAATACCCAGCGTGAGTTGATATATCTCAGATGTTGAAAAGAAATAGCGGTAATGCCGCAAATGGCGCAACAAAGGATGCAACAGCTGGTGGGCCAGGTATGCTTAAAATTGCTCCTTTGATTACCCCTCCTCCTCCTGGATCAATAGATTGATGTTATACTATTGTATTGTGTGCTAACAAATGCTCTAGCTATGGATAAACAAAAGAGGTTGTTAGAGAAAGATACAGGGCATTTCTCCATGATCAAGATGTTGCATCTTGCGGATTTGATCACCGAACTCAATGGTAATTCTACTTTTCCAAAAGTCTCTCGCACAAATTGACTAATTTTTACAAATCAGGGTTCTGTGGCGTTATGTCTGTATTCGCCTCGATGCGATATTGTCTGGGCCCTTCAGATGCGCACGGAAATCTCTGGGCGGCTTTAGCTTTTATGCCTTTTGGATTGTTCTTCGATTTCATGGACGGGAAGGTTGCCAGATGGAGAAAGAAGAGTAGTTTGATGGGTCAAGAATTGGATTCTTTGGCGGACTTGGTACAGTTCTTCCTTCTAACTTTAAGCGTGTCAGAATTTTGATTCTAACGATTTCTCCTATAGGTATCCTTCGGTATTTCTCCCGCTGCTGCAGCTTTTGCTATCGGTATCCGCACTCCTCTCGACCACCTCTTCCTTACTTTCTTCGTCCTCTGTGGTCTCACCCGTCTCGCTCGTTTCAATATCACGGTAGCCAATGTTCCTAAGGATGCCACTGGAAAGAGTAAATATTTCGAAGGCACACCGATCCCTACTTCCCTCTCCATTGCCGCACTAATGGCATACTGGGTATCCAAGGGTTGGATCTTGGACAATATACCATTGGGAACGGTGGGCACTGGTACTATTTTTGAGTTTCATCCTGTTGTGGGACTTTTTGTTCTTTGGGGCTGCATGATGACTAGTAAGACCATTCATATCCCCAAGCCATGATTAAAACGTTATGCTTGGGATCGAATGTGGATTATGAAGGGGGGAACGTGGTGGGAAGAAGGGATGGTAATAGACATACCCGACTTGGTGGTGAGGTGGAGATGAAGCATGTATTATGATACCTTGAAGTTTATGAGCTGGCGCAAATATACCTATTAAATGCAATCCTCTTCTCATGTTATGTTCAACGACCATATGCAAGTAGAGAAGTCGATGATTTGTTTCGCCATGAGACTGTAATATGGTTACTACAGTATTTCTCCTATACCCGATGGTTGAAACTTTATTCGCCATTACTTGAATAAGGAATTCAATAACCATTAACAAAAATGAACATAAAATCATTTGTAGACAACATATCAACAGTGAACGAAAATTTTCAGCACCTGCAGTTTTAATCTTGTAATTAAAATCGAAAAGTAATGAATTGCTGGCTTCTATAAAATGGAGAGCGAGAGAGATTATGCATTTTTGTGTTGGTAATCAACGAATTAGATAGGCACATGAAATGTGTATAAGATCGAAGACCTAGCGAGATATTCGAGATACTCCCAGGGAACGTTTTTTTGGATAAAAGGAATGTCTCGTTGAGAGTAGATGAAGACCAAACGTATAGAGAAGGTAATGTGACTGGAGGCTTTTCGATCTGTAATCTTTGGGCGGGCGGGTGATTGATCTCAATTTAGAACAGGTTCTCTTTGGTAAAGTATGTGTAATATGTTGCCCGAAGCTTCATGATTTTCCTATCGTCCACCGACTATTGACTAAGAAAGTACAATTTTTGCACAGAAGTTCGCAGCAGCCCAAGCCGTACCAACGAACATATCCCTAAACGCCATATACCCAGATTTGGTCTACTTCAATTCTTTATCTTACCGTTTTAACGTCCACCTCTGGAGAATCCTCCTCTCGATCCACCTCTCGCGCCACCTCGAGGAGTGAAACCACCACCTCCTCGAGAGAAACCACCACCACCACCACCTCTGGAGAATCCTCCGCTGCCACCTCTTGGTGTGAAACCACCTCTACCTCCACGTGGCGCACCTCTTCCACCACCTCGTCCGCCTCTCATCGGTCCTCCTCTACCTCCTCTGGCACCACCGGCTCTCTTTGGTTTTGGTGCTCCTGGAGGTGGTTTTGGCTTTGGAAGGAATTTCTCCAAAGGAAGAAGTTTGTCGCCGCCGATGTAGAATTTGTCGCCAGTCTTGAATGAAGTAGCTTGGATACCTTCGGTCGGCTTGATGGTGAAGTAAACTTGGTTGATGGGGCCGAGAATCTCGTCGACTTTACCAATTGAGGTCTATCGATTGGCTGTTAGTCTATATTTTACAAAAGTGTTTCAAATTGAGAATTAAATACCTTGTTCTCTAGGTAGATTGGCGCATTGAAGTAAGGAATTTTAGTATTGATGGATTCGCAGACAATTTCTCCTTCACTGGCATGGAGGAAAGATCCCATAGCTATCTTTAATTAGCAATTGGCTCTAACAATGCGAACAGGAATAATCATACCAAATACATCTGCTGGAGGACCATTGTCTCTTTGCTGGAAACCGCCGCGTCCTGGTGTGAATCGTTAGCAATTGCGCACAAATTGATCTACTCAAATTCGCAAAGAGTGTCAACGTACCTCCACCACGACCACCGAATCCTCCTCTACCACCACTGAAACCAGCATTTGCGCCGGTACCGCGACCGCCTCTTGATCCGCCTCGGAAAGACATTGTTTGATGTTGGCGATTGTTCGAGGGTGTTTAGGCGTTATCGTTGGAGAGGTACAAAAATTAAAGCTCTCCAAAAAATTATTCGAAGCGAAAACTGGGTAGCGTGGAGCCAAAGATGAGAATGATTTTCATTGGTCAAGAATAGCTTAGTCATCTGCAGAGTGCACGGTTCATGTGAGGAGGGACAAACGTTACAATAATTGGAGTCATAAAAATATTCAAGAGAGTTCACCGTCTAGTTGTACTTGACTCCTCCCAAGTACAGCAAACTTCAAACAACAACCTACCTCGGAACACCATGGAACAGGCAAAGGAGGCAGTTGAGAAGGTGGCAGAGGGTGTCAAAAATGTTGCCATTGGAGAGAAGAAACCAAAAGCACCTAAAGCACCAAAGCCTAAGAAGGAGAAGGGAGGGGATAGTGGGGTCGATGCCGGACCTTTAGAACTCAACCCAACGCCAGAATTTATCGCTCATCGCATAGCCGTTTTCGACAAGTTGAAGGCAAAATATGACGCGGAAATTGCTGCAAAACCAAGAGATCCCATCACCATTACTCTTGCGGACGGATCTGTTAAGGAGGGTATTGCTTGGGAAACCACGCCCGCCCAAATCGCAGAGGGAATCTCGAAGAGTCTTCTCAAGCGCACCGTTGTCGCGAAATTGAATGGAGATTCTGAGCAATTATGGGATCTGGAGCGACCCTTGGAGAAGGATTGCACACTTGAGCTGCTCCCTTTCGAGAACGAAGAGGGCAGAAGAGTCTTCTGGCATTCTAGTGCTCATATCTTGGGCGAAGCATCAGAAAGACGATTCGGTTGCAGTTTGTGTATCGGCCCCCCAATCGACAATGGTTTCTACTACGAGATGGGTCTGCCAAACCAAGGAACAGTCACTGACGCAGACTGGAAGCCTTTGGAAACATTGGTTGGTCAAATCGTCAAGGAGAAGCAAAAGTTCGAGCGACTGGTTCTTTCTAAGGATGATCTTCTGGAGATGTTCAAGGACAACAAATACAAGCAACACATCATCAAGGACAAGATCGCTGATGGAACCAAGACCACTGTTTATCGTAATGGACCTCTTATCGATTTATGTCGAGGTCCTCACGTCCCTAACACTGGCAGAATCGAGACATTTGCTATTATGAAGAACTCAGCATCTTACTTCCTCGGAAATAAGGAGAACGACTCTCTGCAAAGAATTTATGGTGTCTCATTCCCAGATAAGAAGCAAATGGCTGAGCACAAGAAATTTCTGGAAGAGGCTGCAAAGCGTGATCACCGAAAACTTGGTAAGGATCAAGAATTATTCTTCTTCCACGAAATGTCACCTGGATCTGCCATGTGGTTGCCACACGGTGCTCGCATTTATAACACAATCATGTCATTTTTGCGAGAGCAATACTGGACCCGTGGCTACGAAGAAGTTATTACGCCAAACATGTACAACTCCGAGCTCTGGAAGACCTCTGGTCATTGGGCGTATTACAAGGATGACATGTTCACATTCCCTGTCGAAAAGGACACTTTTGCTTTGAAGCCCATGAACTGCCCTGGCCATTGCTTGATGTTTGGTCACCGCGAACGCAGTCACAGAGAATTGCCTTGGCGAGTTGCAGACTTCGGTGTTCTCCATCGTAATGAAGCTTCGGGTGCGTTGACTGGTTTGACTAGAGTAAGAAGGTTCCAACAAGACGACGCCCACATCTTCTGTAGGGAAGACCAGATCAAGGATGAAATCACTGGTTTGTTCGACTTTCTCAAGGCTATTTACGGTCTTTTGGGTTTCACCTTCAAGTTGAACCTCTCTACTCGCCCAGAGAAGTACTTGGGTAAACTCGAGACTTGGGATATGGCAGAGGAGAAACTCCGATCTGCTTTGGACGAATTCGCAGCAACTGATGGCGGAGTACCATGGGTACTCAACGAGGGCGACGGTGCTTTCTATGGCCCAAAGATTGATATCACTATTTGCGATGTCCTCAAGAGAGAATGGCAATGCGCTACAATCCAACTTGATTTCCAGTTACCTCAAAACTTTGGACTTGAATACAACACAGGTGATGTACCAACTAAGAAGGATGAAGACGCCGTCAAGGAGCCGATCGTCAAGCCAAAGAAGAATGCCGAACCAGAGGATCCAAATGCCCCACCAAAGGAAAGAGTGTACAAGCCACTTACCCCTGGATGTGCCAGACCAGTCATGATTCACCGAGCTATGGCAGGTAGTATCGAACGTTTCACTGCTATCTTGATTGAGCATTTCGCTGGTAAATGGCCTTTCTGGTTAAGTCCACGCCAAATCCTTGTTATCCCAGTCGGAGTTGGTTATTTTGAATATGCTAAGGAAGTGCAATCCATCTTCCACAAACAACAAATGTTCATTGATGTTGACCTCAGTGGCAACACTCTTCAAAAGAAGATCCGTACAGGTCAATTGGCACAATACAACTTTATTTTTGGTAAGTAGTCGCATATGCCTTTTGTTACAAATTGATACTAATATCTTTAAAAGTTGTCGGCGACACAGAAATGAAGGGTCGTGAAGTCAATGTTAGAAATCGTGATGATACCTCGAGTCAAGATCGAGGAAAGCCTGTTTCATTGCAAGAAGCAATTGAGAAACTCACAGCACTTCGTGATGAGCGAAGGTCGGATAACCCTTTCCCAGGTGAAGCGAAGCCTGCAGCTGCGGCTCCTGTTGCGCCTGCTGCTTAAAAAGTTTGAGACGTTCGGAGGCAGGAAATTTAGAAGCATGATAAGATGGGAAATCAAGTATGAAGATGATGAAATAAGAATATGTGAAATACGAGCATGAGATACATGACTACTGCATAAGAAAAGGCGTGAGATGCAATTCGTTTTCCTTGCTATTAGTATGCTAGATTTAGCGTCATGAGGAATGGGGAGATGAGAAGAATGAAAAGAGTATTACAATTTCATAATGGTTTCGTGATTTATGGTGCCGGTCTATTGCACAAGACGCAAGCTTATATTTGTCATTCTATGTAGAGGGTAAGTAGCTAAGCTAGCCACTTCAAAGTTACCAAGCTTTCGATACAAGAATATTTCAAAATACGGAAAGGACTAAAATCCTTTGGCTTGAACGTTAAGATTGTCTATATTGCCTGCCAATCTAGAATATTCATTCCACGTAAACGTTCCGATTCATCTGCAGCCTTCATTCCAATTTGAATGCCCAACGCCTTCTCAATTCCCGATCGACTCAAAATTCCCGACCCTTTTGAAGATCCAAATCCTTTTGAAAATCTCAGCCCGAATAAAATCTTAACCCATTCCCAACATCCATACTCCTAAAAGTTTTCCGACCGTATATCGGCGCGAGGAAGGCTCAGTGCATAGCGACACTAATAACGAAGAGTCACGTTAAGTTCAAACGTGACGATGACCGCAAGCAAGAGACCTACTCGTATGTTAGCAGAAGAAGGGCTTGCAAAATGAGTTTTCATCAAGAATTGCGAAGATCCTCTGCAAGTTGACCCGCAGGCGAGGCCTATGTCCTATTTGACCAGAGTACGCCTCAAACCTTGGATTAGAGTTTTTCTCACGGTACTCCTTGTTGCCAGGTTCTAAGAATGTGCCATTGAATTGGTAGGGTTCAACGATGGATCATCGGGAATCCCGTTAGTGTATCTCAATATGTAGACTGGTCAGAGCTGTGTCTTGTCGAGAGAGTATGCGAGCAGATGTATTAGAGTTGTAGAAGAAAAGCCAGAGATAGTATAATAAATTATGAGACTAGATGGAGAGACCAAAATCATACTAACAACACCATAATAAGATCTTAGCAAGAATCAAGTGCGACATGGATTTACAGCAATTACCTCTGCTTGTTCGGTGTAATATTGTTCGAATTGCCTTTTTTCAACCAAATAGATCATTTTCAAACGCAAGTCTGGATATTCCGAAGTAGGGATTGATCAAGAAGCTCTCACTTTTTGAATGTGCTTGGGGGCCTCACTCTATCCAATCTCACCCAATGAAATGAAAAGCCCTACAGCATTTCAAAATCTGAAGACCGCACAATGTGATTCTGATTACAAACCCACAAGAAAACTCTCAAAATCGTTCTCGTTTCCTTTCATTCCTATCCCATCTCAACTCGGCTATTACCCCCCGCCCCCCCTGTTCTGCTCTTTACCACAATTACTCTCTCCTCCCTTTATTCCCTAAATAGAACATCCACTCCCTACCCCTTTCAGGATCTCCATCTTTGACGAAGCAAAAAGAGGAATTACCCCTTTTCCTCCCCTCCCCTCCCCTCCCATCCCCGTTCCCAAACCCTCCAGTGAAGAAGAGAGAAGGAACATAGATATAATAGAAAGGAGATCATACGATACATTACTCACCAGTATGTTTGTGTATAGACGAGGGGCTGAGGATGACCGATTGCGTGGAGAGTACAGTATTAAATAAGTTCCAAGTGTAAACGTAAACATAATGATCGAGGTATCTAGTTTCTTCCAATCTTGACATAGAAGGGTCTCTGCCCCCAAATATTGCCTCACTTGCAATATTGCATTGCTTCCTGTTCCGCTCTTATTGGCACCATATCAAAATGAATATGAACACAAACACGAACATAAAACTAATATTTCATATTCAGGACATATCTACTCGGCAATACCTAGGTAGCCAATAGTAAATCCACAAAAGAGATCGTTTCATCGCATTGCATTGCATTCAATCCCAAGTTCCTCAAGCAAAAGTATCGCGGAAATCTTATCGAGCCCATCCATCCATCCATCCATACCTTCCCCTCCATGCCAATTCCTCATTCCCAAGTCTTATAACCTAGTTTTCCTCCTCCCCAGCCATCCAATCCCAATCCCAACCATTCCATTCCATCCCCTTTACCGTAGAACCCGCTAACGCACCCAATACATACGCACAAAATACAGAATACTTCCAGATTTTTCTCTCCTCTGAATTCTGTCCTACCAAAAAAAAAAAAAAAAAAAAAAAAAAAAGGTACCCACTTTAGACAGTTTCGTTACTCAAAGAGCTTCCAGTTTCTGTTCT